AGGCCTTAATGATCAGACGTAACGTTGCTAAAGTGAAGTTCAGAAATGATCCATCGGATGTTACCCGTTCACGGTACAGAGAGCTACGTAATCGATGTAGTCGAATGTGCAGAGACGCACAGCGTCGCCATATACATGACTCTGTTGTTAATGGTTACCCAGCAAACGTATGGTCATTCCTGGGCTCACTTGGTATTGGCAAGTTAGATCGTAGTTTACCCCTCAATCTGGATCCTGATTCCGTGAACCGCCACCTCACGCTCAATTCTCCTATCTCTCATAACGTTAAACTCCAGTCCCTCTCACGTATTCCTAAATTAACATATCCTCCCTTTTCTTTTAGGCCTGTGTCTGAGAGTGAGATTGAAAAGAATATACGTGCTGTTAAATCTAACGCTGAGGGCTTAGATGGTATAGGCCGACGTATGATTCTCCTTTGCATGCCCTCTTGCATTTCCATTCTCTGCCATATATTTAACTTTTCACTCATCACAGGGATTTTTCCGAGCTGCTGGCGCAAGGCTGTTATCATCCCCAGTGCCGTCTTTGACCTATTGGAGGCCCTGGGCATATTAGGATAATGGGGCCTCTATGACCCCCGTTTGGTGATCTAACAAGAACTAGGGACTTTGTATTTGATCTGAGGTGGGTTTTAGGATCCCCTATCGTTTGTGGGGCCCTGGGCACTTGCCCAAAGTGCCCACTGGGAAAGAGGGGTCTGATCATCCCTATTCCTAAATCTTCAATTCCTACCTAACCTTCTCATTTCAGACCTATTTCTATTCTTCCTTTCCTGTCAAAGTCGTCTTGTATTCCACCAGGTTAACGTATTTGCTAACTTTAGCAAACTTATATATATATATATTCTATCCGTTATCCTAGCATTCTATAACACAAGCCTTACAGTGCTTACTTCGGGGCTAGGCTAATTTTATTGGTGTGAGTGTGGGATATATTTATTGATATTAAAATAAAGTCAAAGAGAGCAAATTACTAATCTGAAGGTGTTGATCTGCCATCTTATTTACAAATGAATTACACAAAAGGACGTTCAAACAGTACCATTTTGTCTTTATCTTATTCTGTTGCCAGTACTGGATATAATTAAAATTTGTATTTTTTGATGATTTTAAAGTTTTTACTTTTGTCTAACTACTAGTAACGCCTGACAATACTACTACGTACTATAGAAACCCGAAGGTTTATTAGTTTTCTTAAGAATTTCAAGAAATGGAGAAAAAAATAATTTAGTTCATCTATGGATTGTCTATTTAAGCCTGCATTTATATATTTTAAAAAAGTCTAAGCAACACACATCATTACAGATAGTGTATGTTTTATTAATTGATGTTATTTTTTTTCTAAGCAAAAGAAGGTTGGTACAAGCTTTTTGTTCTCTTAAATATAATTGGGTGATTTGTTTTTTTTTTTCGTGTTTATAATAGTATATTATAAATAATACAAATAGTAAAAAACGTTCAAAAGTTCAAAGCCGTACAAAATGTTCCTTAGACTTTTTTGATGAGTATATTTATAAGAAGTGGTCTCCGCGTTAGCGAGCCGGTCGTAGGTTTTTATGCGTGTCGGCCGCGCGGCGCCCACTGCACGGGTTACAAATTGTGGGGTGAAAGGGGTAGTTTTTTCTAATCGACTTTCCTAACAGTAATAAACGATATTTATCTTTCTTAATTATAGTTTCACTCCGCTGTTTGGTAGCTTTGCTCGTGTTTATGTTACGTCTGCTTATTATTATCGAATTATGTTCGTTTGTCATACCTACGTTTCGAATTACTTCTCATTAATAACAAGATAACTTGATATAAACATCTAGTTATTATTTATTTTCTGACTGACTTCGATCTACTTGCAATCAATAACTCGTAACATACATTATTTGTATGTGTATCATCATATAAATTTGAAATATGTCCGTATAAAATACCTACTGTATCCTTAGCACGAACCATTGTCAAATTCGAATAATGGAAATTGATCTAAATACAAAGTGTACTGATTTTAGTTCTCGTTACGTCCGTTGTAGCGCTGCTATTCAAGTTTCCATTCAAAAGATCAATGCCCAAAATAGGCTCCGCGTGGACAAGGTGCTTGGCAAATAACAATTTTACAGTATTATTTTATTTAATTTTTAACCGATTTCTATAACTCTAATATAGTGAAGAGTTTCATTAATAATACAATAAAGTAAATGAAAATAATACGATCACTTCCTTCTATTAGTTATTTAATATCTCACATGATCGAAAACGGCTGTAATTAGTCGAATTTAAGTTTGCATCACGTCATATCAGTGGGAACGGCTAGGATTGGCCGGGTCTAAGATGACATTTGCAGAAAAGGGCTGCGTTCCAAACCTACGTTTGTGAAGTTTCATAAATTTATGTCAAAATTGAAACGTAAGAGTAAAAAGTTGCACTTGGAGCGTAGGTTTGGAACGCACCCAAGCTATCAAAAGGACTGCGTTTTTTCGTGTAACGTTTAGTATTATACGTCGCACGCCATATTGTGCAATATAAAATTTTCGCGGCATATTGAAAGAATAGATGTTTTTTTCGATTTATTTAATTGTGTAACAGAAAATGTATCTACCCAGTGTCTAAATATCGAATTGGTAATTTCTGGGCCTTCGAATATTATAGATCGATGCGAAAATGACTTATTTGTGATTATATTACCTTTTTTTTATCGCGGTGATAAATTTTTATTTAAAGGGTACTGATACAAAATTATAATGATTCAAAGGATTTGGGTAGTTTAAACATTTTGCATTGTATAGTTTTACTTGTCTAAATGTTTGTCCATATTAGCCAAATTTCCATACAAAGTGGGCATTGCCCTTTGACATTGATATTTTGCACCCGCAAACTATACCAATTCTATATTGATTCGTGCTAAGCTTTTTTGGTTCTGTAACAATATTGCAAGCTTGCAAAATGTCAAGCTAGAGCGATCTCTTAGCAACTGCATTCGCTTCATATTCGGTCTTCGAAAATATGACCATATATTCGATTTTCGCCGTAACCTAAATTGGTTGTCACTCTCTGACCGTCGAAATATAAGAATCCCTCAACTATTTACTCTATTATGTTTGTCCCAAATGCACCTTCTTATCTCCATTTTAAATTTACTTTCCTCAGTTCCACTCACTCTCGCAATATGCGCTTATCTCATGATCTTCTTTTAGAAATCCCATATCACTGCTCCAACTTCGTATCTAACTCTTTCTGTCTCATGCTGCTCGTCTCTGCAATGATTTTCCGGAAGTGTGAAAAGTTCAGCTCTCCTGCATTACTATCTCTTTAAAACTATATCTTTGAAACTTCCAGTCAATCCGCCATATAAAAATGTATTAAAAATTTACTGTATCCTTGTAGGTATATAGTAGGTAATGTATGTATGTGTATAAATATATTTTGGCTTATATGTGTTTTATATGTATGTAAGTTTGAATATACATGAATTAGTTGTATTTGTATAGATTTGATTTATTTTCTCGCTTTCTTTCTCTTATTTACTTTACCGTCGTATTTTCTCTTCTTAGCCCAGTTGTTGACTGGTAGAGAATGCCTTATCGCATTAACTACGCCATTTGTTGAATGACAATGAAGAGTAAATAAATAAATAAAATTCAAAGCCACACCTTAACTATCCAAATTAATGTTAATAATAATCTAAAAAAAAACAACCAGAAAAAAAATTACAGACATGCATAATGATCGCCGGCATGCATTGATTAAAAAACCTATTATAAAACATGCTCACTAGGAAGTTTAAAGATGAAAAACGAGGGCAGTGATCCCATGGGGCGCATGCGTAATAATAACCCTTTTTTACCCTTTCGCCTCCCTGAGTGTTTTTTGTAAAGGGTTGTGTGGGGTAGATGTACCTGCCACGCGTCGCAACGGACGGGTTTAACTTTTTCTATAGTTTTTTGTTATGCTTATGCGTTTTTTATTTCCACTCCACTGTGAGAACAGAAGAGAGTGCATTGAACTCCGACAAGAGATCAGCTGATGCTACAATAGTGCACTTGTTGTCATGTGCGCTATTGATTTTCACTAGTTCAAGGTCGTGCTTTGAGTACGTGTTTTACTGTTGAAGCACTTGTGCTTTTTGATTATTGAAGTACAAGTACTTCTATTTCTTTATTTTATATTATATGATTTAGACTAAGATGACGACCATTCATTTCCATTAATAAAAATATTTTTTGGGATTTTGTGAATTTACGTTAGTAATAATCTTTTCTCGATCTCTCCTTTTTTACTGAATTAATGCTCATTTGGCGAAAAGTGACACCATCCGGCATCTGACTTTTTTACACAACGGGTGTTTGAAATTGTTTTCATGTTTCATCAATACTTATCTCGGTCCTGAAAGTACATAACTAAAATCTTAAACGGCTAAAATATAGTAACTTGAACCATTTGTTTTTCTTAACATTGTGAAGCTTTATAAGCTAACCATCATAAGTAAACATTATTCTATGCTGACGTCTGCAATCTAGATCTCACGGAGGCCCAGCTTGATAAACTTGAGCGACTTCAGAATTTCTGTATACGATACACATTTGGCCTGCGCAAATATGACCATGTTTCTCAATTTCGTTCACAGCTCAAGTGGCTGCCTATTCGTTTTCGCCAGAATATTCATATCCTTACTCTTCTCTATAACGCACTGTTTAATCCTTTGACCCCGAGCTCTTAAGTAATGTTTTAACTTCCCTCACACCTCTAACACATTATCCCTAAGGTCATCAGAAAATTTTGCTCTTATTACACCTGTGCACGGAACAACTTTTTATGGCCGCTCATTCGCAGTGCAAGCTGTTCGCCTATGGAACTCGCTTCTAGTTTTCATATGACGTGCAGAATCTCTACACAGATTAAAAAACCTTCTCAGATCTCACTATCTGTCCTTATTTTATTTCCTCTCACCGATTTAGACTTATACATGGCATATATGTATGGATTTTTTAATATGTATATATATATGTATGTATTTACCTATGTACGTATGTATATCTATGTATTCATATGTGTTTATTTGTTTTACATACTTGGTTTTTACAAATATTTTCTCGCGTATTATTGCAGTTAATTACACCGCCGTCTTTCCAGCTTCTTTCTTGTCCTCTCCATCCCAATGTTGTCTGCAAGAGATCGCTCTTAGCGATAAGACCACCCATTTTCAAATAACTATATTTAAGCCGTTTAAGATTTTAGTGACTTTCAAGATCGAGATAATTATTTATAAAACATGAAAACAATTTCTAACACCCGTTGTGCGAAATAGTCAGATGCCGGATGGTGTCATTTTTCGCCATCAATCGAACGCACCCGTTCAAATTTTGGCAATCGGAGTAAAAAACCACTGGTACAGTTAACACCGGTGCTCTGCATTCCAGTAACCCACATAGATCAAGGTGTTAAGCTATCGTGTTGCAATCCGTTACGCGCAACATCAAGCAAGCCTTTTGTGCAACTCTTTTTTGGCGTTGGAAAAAACGCGCCCTGCTACCATTCCAGTTTTTGCGAACTCGCGACGCGGATGATCTTACGAACAAACTCTGCATAGATCGTATTAACTAACACCTGACGTTCACTTTACATTGAGTCTTCGTTGTGTTGAGTAATCGCAGAATATTCTACTATGTACATATATATATATAAGAAATTTGGAAAGTATTCGTTTGTCGCAATGATGGCATATTCGTAGTGTTTCACATGATTTCGAACCCTTGGTTAAACAATAAGTTTGAACTTTAATGGCAACTAATCATATTGTAGAAATTATTGAGCTAAAGATTTTTTTCAACTGTGTGATAGTACTGATAATCGACATGATCAGAGCGCAACATTTTAAAAATCGATGCAAATTATTTACATTTATTATGTTAACTTCTAGATGGATCCTACTATTATATACTTACTATAACGCAAAAATACAAAATTAAATTCCTTGTCATTGAAAGACAAAATAAACATATATGAAAATTATGAAAACTGAAAAAGCGAGTTGATTGTCCTTAAGGAATTCTGTGTATATATAGCCGGGAAAGGCTTTTTAAAAACAAACTTCTTCATTAAAAACAATATAATTTGAAGCGGTGGATAGACATAACATAAGTTCTAGGGTAGCTTTTGGAGCCACCTTGCTTAGCATTTGCCACTATAAATTAAAGACAGCTGCCGGGCCGCCCCCGTTTTACTTTTTACCCAGAAAACAACAAAAACTCCCAAATTTTTTTCTCTGAGTCGGTCGGAGATCTGATTTCGCAAAGATAGAGTTTCATTAGTAGACAAAGCGTTTGTACGAGTTCTTTTTAATTATATCTAATAGCTTTACCAAAACATGGCAAGGGTCCAGTGACGTTATATATTTTTTCATAACTATAGTACGATAAAAGAATACCTAATTTATAATCAATGAATTTATCAAAAACAAAAGTATATATGTAAATTAACACATTATTACTGTCACTGTGCTAAAATTACATTAAATTAACAATAATAAAAATAATCTAGGTATAAGGTCTATGATAAACTGTGTTTACGCAGACGAATAAGACGTGTGTACGGTTTTTGTTCGCATTATTGAAACGTCCGAGAAAGGCCATTACAAACAGATTAAACGCAAACAAACCCAGTAGCCTCGGTGTTGTAACACAAACAACTAATGAAATGCGGACACAAACAAACCTCTTTGTGTCTCTCGTTTAAATCGCCGCTGTGTATTATGAAGATCCCACGTTAGTGGCGATTAGGCATTGTTGGAAAGTTCCACGGCTACTGTACGCCACCGATACTCAACGGATTACGGACAGATCACAAATGATTTCGTGCTAAGCTTGCTTCTCATTACTCCTTTGCTCTTTCTTTGTAGTTGAAGTTTAGCCGCTCGAACGCCGACAGACAGCATGTTCTGGGAACTGCTACATGTAAGTAAAATTTTTTTAGTACTTAAAATTTAACCATTAAACTTATATTTATTACTAGTGGCCCGCCCTCGCTTCGCTTCGGTGTAGAGCTGTAGTGTAAACTATAGTTTTTGTTCTCAGGCTTGTGCTATAAACAATGACTTTATTTATATAATTACACGTGTTATTGTGAGTCAACCATAAAAGATAGACATATGCTGTTGCGGGATATTTTTTAGACAATTTTATGTAAAATATTTCCGTCATACATGATTTCTATGTAACTTTAACCATTAAGGTTGCACACGCGACGGAAGCTTAAAAATGTAGTAACTTCTCCCGTTTTCCCAACATTTCCCTTCACTACTCTGCTGCTATTGATTGTAGCGTGATGAAAAGTATACTATAACCTGCCCAGGAGTATGAAGAATAATTGTACCAAGTTTCGTTAACATCCGTCGAGTAGTTTTTGTTTCTATAAGGAACATACACACAGACAGACAGACAGACAAAAATTTTACTGATTGCATTTTTGGCATCAGTATCGACCACTAATCACCCCCTGATAGTTATTTTGAAAATATATTTCATGTACAGAATTGACCTCTCTACAGATTTATTATATGTATAGATAAACAGTAGATTCAGAAGATAAAGCTATACATGTATTCATTAAAAAATCTCAAATTCAATATCGTTTATTCAGTCTAGGCTGTTACAAGCACTTGTGAATGTCGAAAAGCTATCAGTTCACAAATCTACGGCGGGAGACTTCGTACTGAGAAGAACCGGCAAGAAACTCAGCAAGGGCTGTATTTTTCTCCCCGTATTAAATTCAATATGAGAATCCCCGTATCAGAGTCGTCAAATTGAAAAATGACTTCAATATGAGATAACTCATGAAGTCACTTTCCATCACGAATACAACAACCCAGCTAGTCTGCGGTATTCATAATTATGATCTTATTTTTTAAGATTATTTATCAAATAACAGGATGTACAATAAAATAGCATGCTTATTTATTTACCCGAGGAGGAGAAAATTAATTCGGCCTACATGATGTAGAGTTCACTCCCGGAGAAAACTAAGGCGGTGGAACAGTGTGTCGCTCCAGCAATCCCTACCTTGATCGTAGCAGCCTATTCCCCTAATCCCTGGAATTACTACTCACTAGAAGTGTAGTACTGTAGTCTTCTGTACGGTGGAGGTAACTTTCCCAGACAGACCCTGCAATTCGAAAAAAATACCGGCTGGCCCTACCTCTCTTAAAATCTATGGTGAATTTATTACACACAAACTTAAAAGTTGCCAAAAAGCTTAGAGAAAAACGTATCATTTTATATTCTAAGTATTATTTAGTCATTCCATCAACCCTACTTTTTAAAATGACTTGCGAAACATCCAGAGGTTTCTATACTTACACAAAACGGAATTTGCGATCTATCAATATGGTGATACTATGACTGTGAGTTTATCTATGAATCGCGACAAGTTCTATAAGGGTTATTAATGATATTGTGCTACGTTGTGCCTTTGTGCAGATCGAACGCATCCAACTTAAAAGGAAATCATAATTGCAATGAATGGGACTATCGAAAAAGGTAATGTTTAGCGTAAAAATCAATAATCAAACTCTGGCAGCGTGCACAATGGACAGCGGTTACCCGAATCTCTATCAAAATAAAAGGCTTTGCGTGACACGGTGCGCGGGTGGATTTTTTATTGCAACAGTTCATAATAGTCGCTCGAGTGGCGGGACGAACCGTTGTCTATGTAAACATTTCTAACATATCGACTGCTCTTCATAATATGTACACACTTATCATAATAACAATATTCCTGAGAAAATGGCAATACAATACGAATGAGTAGGGTACTTATGCAAAATAAATCAATGTATTAATAATACTTCTCTTTGTTAAAATTATAAATGTCATATGTTTTTTCTTAGTTTCGGAGGTAACATGTATGCTATATACTCTATCCAACACGGCTTTCTTAGAAAATATAAAAAAGAGTTACCGAAATTGTGATCACGTTTCCGCTTTGCTTTGCTAGGTCGACCAGGCGATTAAAATTTATTAAGAGTAGTTTTTTCAATAGAATTCACGCTTGAGTGAAGCCCGCTTACTGTAATTTAGGTAAATTAAAATATAAAAAAACTTGATGTTGATAATTCTAAATTATTTTTTACAACTACGTTGAGAACATAATTTTACTATGTTGAAACATAACTTTCAAATTTTACCTGATTTTATTGATAGCGAAATTGTTTACAATAAGTGTTAAAAATATTCAGTTTTTTGTAATAATATATTAAGCATTTATATGCATATTATATTATTTTGATGTTGATATTGTATGTAAAAGTAAAGAAAATTGTAAAGTTTTCATCGTGATCGCCATGACGGGATCAATTAGAATGTTTTATTTTGACTTCAAAAGTCTATGTGTATTTTCTTATGACTGAAGAAGAATCAATAATAAGTTAAGTACCTACTAATTATTAAAACCTGATAGTGCAATTCTGATCTTACGGAACTAAGATCAAAAAATAAAATTGCATATTAAACTGGTGGTCGGATTGAAATTTAGTTTATTGTGCTACACAATGTCACAGGATAAAGCTTTAGTAAATAGAGCACCAATCTATTGATATTGTTGCAGTTCCTTCAAGAGTAGCACACGTGCAATAAGTCATAAGAGATGTGGGCACAATGAGACCGAAAAAGGTATTCATACGCATATTTACCTTATAAGACCCAGGACTATTGATACGTACGCAACCGAGCTTTCACTGCGACACACAATGCATTGCTACTATTGTACAAAGATCTTTTTAGATAATGGACACTTTTCAACCAAAACTTTTGTTTGGACCAAAAAGTCGTATCATTCATTAGATACATATTTTTATGGCATTTCTACTTTTTGCTTTAGAAAATGCCCTTTCTAAATTTTTATGTTTGGAATTAGCCTAAGCCCTGTATGCGCTGCACTAAAAAGTTCCAGAACTGGGAACTATTTCAAAATGAATTTGGAAATATAAAAACATTTGAAATATGATACTTTGGCCTTATAATTCGAAAACCCT